TACTTCCTTTTAAAAAATTTTTATTTGTAGAGGCACAATCTTGCTCTGTTGCCCAGGCTGGAGTGCAACGGCACAATCATAGATCACTGCAGCCTTGAACTCCTAGGCTCAAGTGAGCCTCCTGACTCAGCCTCCTGAGTAGCTGGGACAATCAGGCATGCATCCCCATGCCTGGCTAAATTTTTTTTGGTAGAGGTGGAGTCTTGCTATGTCGCCCAGGCTTGTACACTCCTGCTTCTGTATGTATGTATGCATGTATGTATGTATCCTCTTTTTTGAAAATGATTTGATTGAATCTTACTTTAAGTATGGACTTTTCTGAAGCTCTGGGGACACCTGGAAGAGGAAGGGAGGGTTCTGGATACCCCTAGGACCACATTGGCCCTGGGTGCAGGACAAGCCCAAGCAGGAGAAACAGACCCCTGCTGAGGGGTCTCCTCTTTGTCTCCTCCCTGTGTCCCAGCTGGGTGGTCTCCTCGGTTCATTGCCAGCCAGGGTCAGACAGTGCATGGCCAAGCCCACTGCTATGTCACCATTCCAGGGGGAAGGGGCTTGAGGGCTGTGTCATGGGGTGATGGGAACCCGGATTTAGTTGGTATGACCTGAGCTCAGGTTTCAGCTTTTCCACATCCTGGCAGCGGGGCCTTTGGGTGGAAATTCCTCCTCCACAAAATGAGAGCTTGTGAGAATTAAACTGGTCCCGGCATTTAGGAAACAGCCCTGTGATGTAGGTTTACGCTCTCATGACCCAATTACTTCCCAAATACAAAAAATTAGCTAGGAGCAGTGGTGGGCACATGTAATTCCAGCTACTCAGGAAGCAAAGACAGAAAATTGCTTGAATCCAGGAGGCAAAGGTTGCAGTGAGCTGAGATGGTGCTACTGCACACCAGCCTAGGCAACAGAGCAAGGCTCTGTCTCACGAAAAAGAAAAAAAGGGGAAAAAAAAAAAAAGAAATGGAAGGAGATGAAAAGGAATATATGTAACATAGGCACGGACTTCATGACTAAAACACCAAAATCGTTGGCAACAAAAGCCAAAATAGACAACTGGGACCTAATTAAACTCCAGAGGGTCTGTACAGCAGAAGAAACAATCAACAGAGTGAACCAGCAACCAACAGAAAGGGAAAAAATTTTGCAATCTACCCATCTGACAAAGGGCTAATATCCAGAATCTACAAAGAACTAAAACAGATATACAAATAAAAAGCAAACAAACCCATTCAAAAGTGGGAGAAAGATACGGACAGACACTTTTCAAAAGAAGGCATATATGAGGCCAACAAACATATGAAAAAATACTCATCATCACCGATTATTAGAGAAATGCAAATCAAAACCACATTGAGATACCATCTCACACCAGTCAGAATGGCGATCATTAAAAAATCTGGAGACAACAGATGCTGGAGCGGATGTGGAGAAATAGGAACACTTTAACACTGCTGGTGGGAGTGTAAACTAGGTCAACCATTGTGGAAGACAGTGCGGCGCTTCCTCAAGGACCTAGAAATAGAAATTCCATTTGACCCAGCAATCCCATTACTGAGTAATATATGCAGAGGATTATAAATCATTCTATTATAAAAACACATGCACACATATGTTCATAACGGCATTGTTTACAATAGCAAATACCTGGAACCAAAGCAAATGCCCATCGATGATACACTGGACAAGGAAAATGTGGCACATATACACCATGGAATACTATGCAGCCATAAGAAACAATGAGTTCATGTCATTTGTAGGGACATGGATGAATCTGGAAACCAGCATTCTCAGCAAACTGACACAAGAACAGAAAATCAAACACCACATGTTCTCACTCACAGGCAGCAGGTGTTGAACAATGAGAACACATGGACACGGGGAGGAGAACATCACACACTGGGGTCTGTTTTGAGGAACAAGGGAGAGACAGTGGGGGAGGATGGGGAGGTCGGAGAGGGACAACATGGGGAGAAATGCCAGATGTGGATGATGGGGTGATGGAGGCAGCGAACCACATTCCCATGTGTGTACCTATGCAATAATCTTGCGCGATCTGCAAATGTAACCCAGAACCTAAAATACAATTAAAAAAACAAAAAGATTTGCAAGGAATCAAAAAGCATTTAAATATCTACACGAAGGTATTTATCAGCAAGACTGATACCACAAAGAAAAGAAAATCAAATCAGTGATATTAAGAATACATTGGAGAAGTCCTCCAAGAATGTAGAGGAAAAGGATAACAGAATGAAAGTGATGACGACGAGAGCTCTGTGAAACCCAATTTTAAAACTCCAAGATTAATATAATAAAATTTTCAGAATAGAGTAGAACAACAAACTAATGAAAAAAAAACAACAAAGAGAACATTTTTTCTTGACCTTTAAAAAAAATCATGTTCTATAAAAAGAAATCTTCACATAGACATATCCTGGCAGAATATGTATTGAAATGCTGGAAAACTTTAAACCATTCCCGGATCTGAGAAAAGTACTTAGAAATGAATGAAAATCAGGCTGACCCTGGCTTTTCCTCTGTGCTAGAAAATTCAGGGAAACACTAGAATACCATCTACATAGTTGAGGGGAAGGGTTAGAAACCCAAGTAACCAGAGATTTTGGAAACACACTTGCGTAGCCTGACATCTGTGAAAATAACATACTTGGCTGTTTTTGCTTTGAGAGTACATATCACCAATAAGCAGCTTAAGAAAAATATTACTTTAGTTCAACCATTATGGAAGACAGTGTGACAATTCATCAAGGATCTAGAACCAGAAATACCATTTGACTGGGGTGAGTGTGGTGAGGAGGCAGCAGGGGCAAAGGCCCTGGGGTGGGTGTGGTGAGGAGGCAGCAGGAGCAAAGGCCCTGGGGTGGGTGTGGTAAGGACGCAGCAGGGGCAAAGGCCCTGGGGTGGGTGTGGTGAGGAGGCAGCAGGGGCAAAGGCCCTGGGGTGATTGTGGTGAGGAGGTAGCTGGGGCAAAGGCCCTGGGGTGATTGTGGTGAGGAGGTAGCTGGGGCAAAGGCCCTGGGGTGATTGTGGTGAGGAGGTAGCTGGGGCAAAGGCCCTGGGGTGGGTTTCGTTAGGAGGCAGCTGGTAGATGTCATCAGCCTGGTGTTCACAGGCATGGCCCAGTTCCCCTAGTCCACTCCCCTAGGGGCGTCAAAGGTCTCAGCCTTGCACGAGAGATTTCCTGGCTTTCCAAACTTGTCAGCCCTTTTTTGTCTTCCTGGGTGGGTTTCTGCTGTGCCTGAGAGATGGCCCAGGTCCATGTGACAGGGGGAGAAACTAGCCCAGCAGGCCTGGGTTTGCCTACCACTCTGCCTCTCACTTGCTGTGTGACCTGAAGTAAGTTACCAGACCTCTCTGAATATGTTTTCCTAGCAGAGCTTTTGATACATGCCTGGTGTCGGGTGTGCGGTCAGGAAATGCTGTGTCCCCGCCACTTTTCAATGTTTCCTCTTCTCAGCCGACATTTAAAACAGTTCCCACAGGCTGGGCGCAGAGACTCACACCTGTAATCCCAGCACTTTGGGAGGCCAAGCAGTAAGTGCCCCACGAGCAACAAATGTGCTGCCTGGGAAGCAATGCTGGAGGCCATGCCCACTTGGGCAGATGGTCAAGATGAGGTGGGCACCAGTTTAGCCCAGCCACAGACAAAGCTGCTGAGGCTCTGTGCCTCTGTGCCTGCCTGGCACAAGATATGGAGCCAGGACTGAGTAGGCCTCTGTGCTCTGGGCTGACCAAGGATGAGACTGGGGCATGCTGGCGAGAGAGCTGACTCCTGACAACCCGGGCTTTGTGTGGAGCAAGTAAGGGAGCCCCCCACCACTTATCTCCCCATGCCAGTGGTGCAGTGCCCAGAGCCTGCAATCCTCACTCTGGGTGTGGGCTAAGAAAGAACGGACCCTTTGGCTGGCGCATCAGGCGACATTCAGGCTATCTGGGACCAGCTCTGACAGCCGCTGCTCTGGGATCAGCTGCCACAGCAATCTACACATGGCATGGGGCAGCAGCAGTGACATCCCTGGACACTGACCCCAGAAGCATGGAACCCAGGACCAGATACTGCCACAGTCAGCCCACAGGTGCGGGAGGGCAGGAGGTGCTCAGTCACAACTCTGTGGCTGCACAGTGCCCAGCGCCTGCAAACCTGTGCTCTGGGCCAGGCCTAAGGAAAAGTGGACCCTAGGGTGGGATGGCGGTACACTCCCCGACCCCATGCCCTCGGGGAGCAGCCCCGCAAGAATCTGCCATGGGCTCAGCCACAGCTGCAACCTGGAAATGGCACAAATCAGTATCAGTGGCAACCCCTGGCCCTGTCCTCCCCCACCAGCAGCAGGAATCCCAGGACCAGATGTCACCATAGTGCCTAATTTAGGTGGTCGACGACGCAGCTACAGGGTGATAAAAACTAGAGCTTACTCATCCTGGGTGCTGCAGTTGGCCCAGAGCCCACGACCCCACACTCTGGGCTTGGGCCAAGGAAGCACCGATCTTAGGGTAGGGGGAGGTGCCCTGGGTGACTCCCAGACTGTCTGAGACCAGCCCTGCAGCCTCCTGTGCATTCTGCTGCACCTGCCACTTAGAGATGGCATCCGGCAGCGTGGTGGCAACCCCTGATCCTGCCCACTTCCTCCAGCAACGCGGACCTAAGGGCCAGACCCTGCTGCGGTGCCTAAATCAGGCCCCGCAGCAGGAGGAGGACTGGAACCGGCGCCCAGCCCCATCCCAGTGGCTGTAGGGTAACCAGCGCCTGCGACCAGCGCCCTGGATCAGGGACAAAAAGGAAGAGAAGAACAGAAACCAGCACTGCCACCCCACAGCTCAACTGTAGCTGCCACCTGCACATGGTGCATCAGAAGCAGTGGTAACCCCAGCTCTGCCTGCCATAAACAGCTGGGGGGGGCGGGACCCAGGAACCAAGGCCACCTCAGAGGCTGCCACCTGACCACCTCTGCACCCATCCCTGCCCTGGTGGCAGCCAGCCACACTCCCACCTCTCCGGCGCTCTGCAGTCTCTGTCACTGCCACCCACTGCAGCGAGGTGAGCCGTGGTGCCACAGGCTCCAGCCTCCAGCATGCAGCAGATAGGTCTTCTTTCTCCTGGCATGGAGCAGCTGGGCAGGCAAAGCCAGAAAAGCCTAGAATAGGACACAAGAAAATGGTAGCATTAGACCCCCACCTTGTCATGCTGGCCAATGGGTGGCATGGGCCAGTTTCAGTGAAGGCACTCACACCCACCCTCCAAAGACCACAGCATCTCTTTTTGGCCCAAACTGGCTAGGGAGTAGAGACTGGAGACAACATGGTGCCTGGGCTTCCCACTCCACAGGAACCACTGGGGCCACCCAGGCTGTGCTCAGGAAGCAGGAGCAGCAGAAACTCAGCTCCAGCCAGTCCTCCCCACCCATGTGCTGGTTCCCATTCCTGAGACCTCCACCCACAGGGCCCTGTCACCCCATGGTGTCTGCTACAGAAATGTGTGCCCGCCACACAGCAGCAGATGGCCCTTTAGAGTCCGGGGAGAGGAGGACCACTCCTCTCTCAGAGACCACCGCTGTCACTGAAACCTCCATCACCTGCCACCGGCAATGCAGCTTCCAACAGAGCCCCTAACCCGTTGCCACCGGCAGTGTAGCCCCAGGATAGTGCCAACACCCCATCCCCCACCACCGGCAGTGTAGCATGTCATGGCAGCCCCTAACCTGCCCCTGCCTTAGACACTGCAGCACTCGATGGCACCCGCAAGCCACCCCCCTACCATGGGCAGCACAGCCCGGGATAGCACCCCAACAGGCTCCCTGGGGTGGGCAATGTAGCCACAGATAGCATCCCCAAGCAGACCCCCACCACAGGCAGTGATGCCCCCATATGGCACCCAAACCACCCCCCACTGCGGGCGCTGTAACCCTGAATAGTGAGTGCCCTAACTCCCTCCCCGTCGGGAACAGTGCAGCCCTGAATAGTGCCCCCAACCAACTCCCTTCCTTGGGCATTGCAGCCACCGATAGCACTCCAAACTCCCTCTCCACCTTGGGAAGTACCCCCATGGCTAGCTCGGGTAGCTCCTGATAGCGCACCCAACCTGCCCCTGCCACAACCCAGGCAGCCCGGAATAGCACACTCACCCGCTCTTTAGAGGCAGCGCAGATCCCTGAGAGCACCTGGCCCACCCGCCGCCTCCCCACCACTCAGGCTGTGTATCCGACCCCAAGAGTGCCCCCACCAACCCTCTACCCCACTCCACAGGCAGTCCAACCCTGTGTAGCTCTCCCGACAAGCCCCCCAACCTCTGTCTCAGTGTAGTCCCCATGATGCCTTTAACGCCACCCCTCCCCCCACCAGCAGTGTAGCACCCCCTAAACCATCCTCCACCGCCAGCATTGCAGCCCCAAACAGTGCCCCCAACCCACTCCCTATGTGGGCGATGCAGCCTTGGATAGTGCCCCCAACCAGCTCCCAGACACAGGCAATGATGTCGTGGATCTCACACCCGCGCCCCCCCCACCCACTGGGGGCAATGTAACACCTGACAGCACCCCAAACCATCCCTCGCCGCTGGCAGTGTTGCACCCCATACTGCCACCAACTCATCCCAGACAAAGCAGGGAGCCGCGGAGAAGGAGCAGGGAGGTCTGGAGCATTCCCGATGGGGTACCCGCCACTTACCGCAGAGACCTGTCTCATCCTCCGCCATCACAGTGAAGCCACCACAGCTTCTCCAAAGAAACTCGCTCTGAGCGAGCAGCCGCCCCCTTCGCCTACCCCGACTTCCCTCTGGCTAGGCTGGGGCCGCCGTCGCCGCCACTGACTTCCCTGTGGCCAGGCCGGGCTGGCTGGGGCCGCTACCACCGCCACCTCCGCCGACTTGTTGAGGGCCACTGCCACCGCCACCGCCAACTTCTCGGGGGCCGCTGCCATCGCCGCTGCGGCTGCCAACGACTTCTCTCTGGCCCGGCCGGGTGGGCTTCCGTAGGGGCACTCACGCTGACAAGCACTCTCCTCAGGGCTGAAGCACCACACCCCCTTAAAGGGGCCGCAGCTCAGCCTGGCCAGAATAGCTTCTGGTTGGATGAGAACAAGTTTTAGGTTAGCCAATCAGACCACAGAAATGAAGCCCAATTAGAGTAGACCTTGAAGTTTGCTCTCATCCAATCCGAACATGTAGTCTAGGAACCCCGTCTATAAAGGATGGCAAGCGGGAGTCTTGCCATTTCAGACGTGGGCCCACCTGCTCCGGAGCTGGCTTCGTGGAGAAGTGGGAGTAGCCGGCCATCGCCCATGCTGGAGGCTAGAGTCTGCCATACGGGCTCAGCTCACCTTGCTGTTGCGGTTGTTGGCACTGACAGAGACTACATCCCACCTAGAAAGGTAAGTTGGTGGGATCGGTTCACCGTCTTGGCCCGCACAGCCTTAAGCATAGGGGACAACTTGGGAGTGAACTGCCATGGGCAGTGGCACTATCCAGGGTGTCACTGCTGGTGTTGCGGGGGCTGGTGGGGGAGGTTATTTGAGGCACCACAGCTCGCGTAGGGGACAGGGTTGGGGGACCTTTCCTGGGGCGTGCTGCCCATTGCTGGGGGCTGGCATGGGGCCTGTCCCAAGCGGTACTGCCAGCAACAGTATCTATTTGAGATCCTGCAATGGCTCCTCACTGCTCTAAGGATAAATCTGTACTTTTTATTCTGACCTACACAATCTGGTTCTGTCCAACTCTGTGTTGTGTCTCTGTGCTGCTTGCTCACTATACTCCATCCGCCCTAATATTCCAGCTTCTTAAACGTGCTAAGTTCACTCCTATTCAGAACCTTTGCACAGTCTAGCCCCTCTGTCTGGAATTTTCTTGACCTGATCATCTCCTTATCATCTTTAGGTTTCAGCTTCAATATTACTTTTATACAGGGGCCTTCCATAAAAATCCCATCCAAAAATATGTCCTTGACATTATTTTTTATTTCATCACCTCTTTCTTTCATAGTATATATTGCAATTAATATTTTTGAACTTGTTTGTGTTAGTTCCCTTCCTTACTTAGTTGTGATCTCCACTAGGACAGTGGCTCTGTGTCTCTTTGCCATTCTGTCCTGGGCTCTTAGCAAACTGTCTTGCACATAGTAGGTATTCCAGAGATACTTGTTCAATAAATAAACCACTTAATTCAAATTCCTCATAATAAAATGGGAAATTAAGTCTGTTGAGGTGAAGTATTTTACTCAGTGCAACATGAAGACTTAATGACTGGATCCATCCCTTTCTATGTCAGGCATTGGATCTAGTTGTACAATGATGGAAGGGTAGTAGAAATAGTTTCCTGAGCCTCTCATTCAGGTATAGGATGAGACTAGCTACATGTTTTTAAGTTACATGCTTGATTTAGGTAGGTGAAATGTTATGACTCTGTAGTTGGAATTTAATCAACTTCTGTCAGCCTGTTTCTGAATGTGGGGACTGTGGGCTTCCCCGCAATCACTTATTCCTGATGACTCGACTTATGAGAATCACATAAACCAAGAAGGAACTTCTCTACTAAAGTTCATAATCTTTTAAAAGGATCATTCAACATAGTCAGTCTGTAAGAGAGTACTTCTTGAGAGACCACTGCCTTTTCTTTTCCATTTTCCTGTCTCGATCCTCCTGTAGGGATCCTTCCTCACAAGAACAGAAATTGTTCTCAAGATAGCCTGCAACACAACCAAAGACTGTGGCTAGCCTGGAATAGCTATAGGGACAGAAGAGGACACTGAGGTAATGCTTGTTGTGATTCAGCCTTGCATTTATATTTCTCACCTGCACAGTACCTTGGCACATGGTATTTGCTCAGTGTTACAGTCCCTTTTGGTTCTCCTCCCTTTCAAGATTCCTTTCATGGAGCCAGGGTGCCTGTTGGCCACTGCTGTGAGCATTAGTTGCTCACAGTTCAGGCTTGTCCCTCTTGTTGGCCTAGAAAGCTGCATCATCTAGAAATGTTTGGGAGGTACGTTTCTTGCCATGCCTACACTTAACCAAGGGCAACCCCCACCCAATGACTGACAAATATGTGGATAAAAACATCTGGGCTTGTTAAGAAAGTGGGACAATTGGGGTGCTATTCATGCTCCAAAATTCCCTGTGGAAGCAGAAAAAGTGTAGACGTTGGCTTAACCTGCATCTTCATCTAGGGTTTTTTCCTGTTCTATCCTCCCATCACTTCCTTACAGATTTTACCTGCAAGCATGTTCAGTCAGTCATTTGCACAATATTCCCTGTCTCAGACTCTGTCTCTAGGGAACCTGACCTAGAAAGCTTAGAATTTGGGAATTGTAAATGATATAGTTGAGAGATTATCTTAATGGCTCAAACTGCTGATATGCCTGGAGCCATATTTCAGGGTACCAGTGACAGTCCCTGGGAATGAGATGTACCTATAAAGTTCCTGTTTTCAATTTCAGCCTGATCCATCCCAATTGTAAAGGATTGTCACTATGTATTACTTAGCAACACCTCAGTCTCTAGGGCTGAAGTGAAGACAGAATGGTCTTTTTGTTACCAGAAAAGGGTCCTGATCCAGATCCCCCCGCATCCAAGAGAGGGTTTTTGGACCTTGTGCAAGAAAGAATTCGAGGAGAGGCCATAGAGTAAGATGAAAGCAAGTTTATTAAGCAAGCAAAAGAATAAAAGAATGGTTACCCCACAGGCAGGGCAGTGGCATGGACTGCTTGATGAATTATAGTTATTTCTTGATTATATGCTAAACTCTTGATTATTCATGATTTTCTGGAAAAGAAGTGGGCAATTCTTGGAACTGAGGATTCCTCCCTTTTAGACCACATAGGGTAACTTCCTGAGGTTGGGTTGCCATGGCATTTGTAAACTGTCATGGCACTGGTACGGGTGTCTTTTAGATGCTAATCCATTGTGATTAGCATATAATGAACAGTGAGGATGACCAGAGGTCACTTTCATCACCGTATTGGTTTTGCCAGGTTTTGGCTGGCTTCTTTACCACAGCCTTTTATCAGCAAGGTCTTTGTGACTTGTATCTTGTGGTGACCTCCTGTCTCATCATGTGACTAAGAATGCCTAACCTCCTAGGAGTACAGTCCAGTAGGTCTCAGCCTCATTTTACCCAGCCCCTTTTCAAGATGGAGTCACTCTGGTTCAAACACCTTTGACATTTGAGTACTAAGTCATTCCGCTGTCAGTTAATTACAGACTAAGCACCCTTGACAATCCTATTTCATCTATCCCAAAATAAGTTCTTCTTGTAAAAAAAACAAAAAACATAGCAGTGTTCATTTGCACACTGCCTCTTCAGTTCTTCTAGTCTTTCTATCTTCTTCTGGGACTACACCAATTTATTCTCATCTTTTGTTATACTAGTCTAGGAAAATTTTGTCCTAGAAATTCTGATTTAACCCAGAAGAACTTGACGAAACAGGTATGATCTTAGAGAGTATGGTGACTAAACATTAGCACTGTTTGAGCTGTCCCAGAAGCAGATTCTGAGTGGAAATGAATGCACATGAAATTTAAGGAGTCCTATGGCGATTGGCAGTTGTGGAAGGGAAGAAAAGAAAGTGAGATTGGGCAGTGGGAGAATTGAACTGCAATGCAGTCACAATGGAAGCCTCAGCCAACCCATGGGGAGCTTTGATGTTGGAATGGTCCTTCAGAATTGTCCTGGACCCACCATCATAATAATTGTTCATCAGACACGGCTGCCCCAGGAATGAGGTGATCTGGAATGTGGAGGCTTTCTTTAACAGAAGCAATCCTTGTGGGGTGAGGACAGCTGAGAGCTGTCTTCCTGCAGCACTCCCAGCAGTGACATACTAGTTCTTTCATTCCTAAAGAGAAATATGGGTGGTATAGGGACACTTACAGTTGCTTCTGTGCTTAGGAAGTTCTGAGACAGACAGAGGCCTGGTCTGCTGCTCTAAGATTTACTTTATGTGGTCTCACTCTTTCAGGACACACTTGACCCAGAGCCTGTCTTCAAGAATGTAACTGGAAAACTCATACAAGTGGGTAAGTTGCTGGCTCTGGCTGTTTTTAGGTTTTCATAGTTGTGTGAGGCTGGATTTGAGCATGGGCTTATTTCTACGGTGGCTCGTAGGTGCTGGTCCAAGAAGAAAATAGAGTTGTTTGAAGTCCTGGGTGTTCTATTCGAGGATGGTGTTTTTGTAACATAAGATTATGAATTCTATTCCTGGGATCATATGATTTATATTTAGCCAGGAGTTGGGCTGGTTGTGTGTCTTTGACCACATATCTATTAAAAGAAAGCCCTGGGCAAAAATGTCTGTGGTTTGTGTGTGTGTTTGAATTACACATCTATTATACATGCATCTATTTCTAGTGACTGCTACATACAACTAGAAGAAAGGCTTATCTCTTACCTAATGCTCTAATATCTGTTTATTATTTAATTTCCGTTACCTAATGCTGAAGAGGCAATGGTGGGTAGGCCTCATGAAGGTTTTGTTATAGAGATAACTTCCCTATCTCTAGAGGTATTGTGTTATCTAGCTTCTAACTCTGGGAATATCTGGCAAGAAAGACATAAATATTGAGTGGCAGGGAAATGTTTAGTGTGTAAGGAGTAACTAGCTGATGTGTATATAGGTGTTGTAGATTAGCTCATTGTTTGGCAAATATTTACTCTTTCTCCTTACTATAGTAGAGTGTATTTCCCTACTCTACTGATCTGGATTTGGGACTGTGATTTGCTTCAGCTAATGGATTATATAGGAAGTGACAGTGTGTGAGTTCTGATTCCAGGTCTTAAGATGCTTCACATGTGTCCACATGAACCTCTGGAATGCTTCAACTTCTTTTGATATGAGCAGCTGTCTCTCTACCAAAGGGTCTAGAATGACCACTTGTGGAATAGAGTTATTCAAGCTGACTTGCAGCCTAAAGCAAAGTGTATTAGTCTTTCTCACACTGCTAAAAAGAAATACCTGAGACTGGGTAATTTATAAAGAAAAGAGGTCTTTATAAAGACCTCTTTGAGTCTTGGTTCCACAGTCTGTACAGGAGGAATGGCTGGGGAGTCCTCAGGAAACTTACAATCATG